ACCCGCTGCCCATGCCATACGGAGGCTGAAAACTGTAGAGCCGCGTGGTGCCAGGGCGAGTTCCTGAACAATGACATCCATGGAGCACGCGGCTTAGATGCCTTGCGAACTGGTGCGACGACTGCACTTGCTGGTCCAGTAGTATAATTCGTTTAGCAACTCCTACTTAGTCGCCTACTTCCACTGGCACTGCCACTACTATCGCCAGTACCGCCACTGCTTTGCTGAACTGCAATATGACAAGTTGCGGCACAGCTGTGCCAGAGGGCTATGTGAAACGCGCATTGTTGGACCCAACATCTCGATTTCTGTCGTTCGCAGGCCGGCGTGTACAAGTGGAGTGATGGACGCAAGTTTGAGGGTCAATGGGCCCGCAACAGGCCGACCCTGACATCCCAGAATTGGTGATTGTGTGCAGTTTTCCAGCTTGGGATGGTTTGATGCGTTTGAACTACACTACACCTTGCGAGCTCGCTGGTCACCTTAGTCATCTGAGACTTGCCCCGCTTGCCAGGATGCATGGATTTGGGCATTTCAGCTGGGTAGTCCGCAGCCCAGCAGTCGTGCTACAAGATTTCTGCGACTACATCCTTTTCGGCACAATGGCATGCACTCTGTCGATACTCGATAACCTTGGAAGTCGGATGAGCTGGGTGTGGCTGCAGGATTTCGGCGCTTGCATGGGTCCACTGAGTCTTTTTGTCTAAGGCTTGAAATATCAGAAATTGCAGCAAAAGTTATCATGTTGGATTGTTGGGCCGAAGGACCAGGGAGGCTTTCGCTCACCTTACCCTTGCCCCTTCACTTCAGGATGGCCGCAGCTATGAGGGCCAGTATGTCAGTGATCAGAAGGACGGTGAGGTGCGCGCCGCAGCGTTGAAAAGCGCCTCAGACCCTGTAGACCCCCGTAGACTCCCCGTGGATTCCCCGTAGACCTCCCTGCTTGGCCTCAGGGCGTCTTCAGATGGCCCGACGGCCACTTGCCCGCATTTGACCTTGCGAACGCCTCTGTTCGCCCCTCGCTGAAGGTGCCTGATACAGGGGGTGCCTCAAAGTTCTTAGCGTGTGATGCACCAAGGGCGGCAGTACGACGGGCAGTGGAAGAATGGGAAGCAACACGGCATCGGCATCTACTGCACTGCAAGAGGTGACATGGCCAGAATGCCCGTGGTCGTTGCAGCACTGGTCCGTATTTTGTCGTAGCTTCTGTGGTGACGCTGTGTGCAGGAGACAAGCGCCGAGGTGAATGGGAAGAAGGCACGGGCTTTGCTCACTACAGCTAGAAAACACGTCTGACTGTCAGTTGTGCTTCTGCAAAGACCTTGTTTTGGAGATGCCTCTATGGCTAACGGATGCTAACGGCTTTCGCATGGCCTTCATGCTCCTGCTTGTAAAGGCCGGCGCACGTGCTGGCTGGGCCCTGCGGAGCCCCAAAAAGAGGAGTCGAGTCAGAAGACTGCTGTGTCTTAGAGGGCGTGCAAAGTCATATATCTACAGTCTCTATCGTGAGTTTAACTCGATGAAGTCATGGTGCTGACGCTGCCCAGCATGTTTCTTGCTTGAAAGTTTCACCTCCCAATGAAGCAGGGCCCCTTCCTCCAGCACATTGTCTAGATCCCGTGTTGCAGAAGATCACGCCATCATCCATTTTGACAAAGTCAGGATGCTAGAGCACTGCTATTCTGAGGAAGGGCGTGCTCGCGCGAATCCAGGTGCCCCAAGGAGGGCACCTCGCCCGAAGAAGGCAAAATGGCCCCTGGTGCTGTCAGTTGGGTTTGCTGACATTCGCTGTGGCGAGTCTTGTGCGAATTCTACCCCTGGCTTGGCGAAAGTTTTGCATCTGTCAGTTTGGCCCTGTGGCCACCTCAAGCCCTCAGTTGCTTGCAAAGGAGTCTGTACCTCCTGGACGACCGAGTAGCATCAGACGCGACAGTGCATAATTCTCAGCTCGGTTGTCCAGGAGACCTAGGTCGCAAACTTGCACCTGCGATGTGGCGGTGGCTTCTTGCCTGCTTCAGGAGTGGAGAGGGGCCCTCAAAATGTTGGAGGATGTGGGCGCCCTGCGGTTCAATCAGCAAAGGTTGTGTGGTATCATTCGCACAGCAACATCGGCAGACAGTTGAAGAAACCAATGAACGAGAGCATCTAGAGAATACCTCTGATCAGCAAGGTTATGAGCACCTAATAGCACGTAACTCCCCGTCATCTTCGGTTTGTGTGACTCTCTGCCGAGGCTGTGCCTGGCCATCGCGCTGCAATGTCAAGCACGGCGACTCGCACGGTTCACTGAGGCAGCTCACCGCGTACATCCCCGCAATCAATTCAGAAACCCCGTCCTGAACCTGCGCCGAAAGCTTCTGCGCCCGTGTGCAGAAAGCACAGGCAGCCCACCCAGACTCACAAGCACGCACAAGCACGCACACTTACAAGGAGGCACGATGACAAGATCTGCGAATTCAAACTCGAACCCTCGAAATTCGAGCTTGAGAGTTCAGTTTTCCCAGATTTCAGGAATGCAGGTCTTCAGACTCGTATCCCAAAGACTCGCATCTAGGACCGTTTGCCATCTCAGAGACGTGTGGTTTCTGCTCGGAGGAGACCTGAAGTTCTGTCCTTGAGCGCGGCTTGCCGCGAAGTCCTGGAGTTAGGGCCCCAGGGCCATGTCCTAGGCCCCGAATGTTGGAACTTTCCTGCGAATTAGATCTTCAGCCCCTCGTGACGATATGCCGGGTATATGCCGGGTATACCACTTCAGAGTTGTTCCGGAGGCGGATGATTGCCACGGGCTGGACACCACTGCTCTCAGCGAGGCAATGGTGCGTGTGTGGGTTTGCGGAACTTGCTTCAAGTGGGCAAGACCTGTGGGCCCACGGACTACACCTTTAAGGACTGTTGGCACAAGCTCAGTTTTCTCGCAGAGTTCTACCACGGTGGTTGCCATTTCAAATGGTTGCAGCAAGGTCCAGTCCTCGGCGACAAGTGAAAGAGTTCTTGCGTGTCGGCAGGGGACGGGCTGAGAAAGCTAGCATTGGAGTGTGCGCTGCTCAAGTCGTAGCGTTCGCAAGAAGAGTGGGGAATCACCCAATTTGAAAATCCTCCGTTGGCCCCCCTCAACTTTCAGCGAAACCTCTGTTGAGCTTAGGAACTGCCCCCTTGCAAGCCCTAGAAAACTGTGCACCAGATGAACAGCAGGCCGTCTCCAGCGTGCTATCGGAGCTTGAGCACCGATGCTTGGAAGCATGCCAAAGCATCGACGTGCCGTGAGCGAGGTGTTGTTTTTGTGATGAGTTGGTGGAAGTAGGATCACCAGTAGCTCGCCAGTGTTTCCGCATTAGTTCAACTTGTCTCTCGTCTCGATCGGGGTGGTTTGAGCAATAGCTTTCAACAAAACGATGTTTCTTCTGGGCCGGGTTATCTCTGCGTGACTTTGATCTTCACCCGAGGCCATCAGAAGTTGCTCAAGAAGCAGAACCTCGCAATGCCTTCAGATGGTCAGGCCGCATGCTTTAGCAGCGCTGAGTTGAGTCGCTGAGTCACTGAGTTGCTTCTGCCTACGTATGCTTTCGAGGTGATGCTTTCGGGTAGGTGGAACTTGTCGAAGCCAAAGGGCACGTGCAACCGCTTGTGTTGTCTGATTCTGAATTCCCTCAGCTTGAATAATTGGAGGAGGTCGAACTCTGGCGATACGCCCTTCACAGAGTCCCAAGAGTGAGGCGCCGAGAGAGGCAGCGGGGGCCTTGACGTCGCGGCTCCAGGACGAACCTCGTCTTGACTTCATCTATTGAGGGGCCGAAGGTCTAAGGTCTGAGCCTCCCTAAGCCTCCCCCCGAGTGTTTGATGCAGCTATGGCCCTTTTCTATTTCTTGTTTCTGGGGGAGGGGGGTAAGGTGAGTTACCGGATACCTTTGCTAACGTTTCAGGCGTCGGGAAAAGTTACAAGACCACCCCCCGGCCTCGGTAACATTTTCAAATCGGTCAGTTTTGCTATCGGCCTTTCGCTGGTTCTATGCTTTTTTGTCTTGAAGAGTTCCGGGCTTGTCTGTTTGTTTTTGACATGTGAGAAGCCCGCTAAGACACCCGAAGAAATTCCCAGCAAAGTAAACTTCAGGAGCAGTAGGCCCAGTAGGCCTTTGTAAAAAAGAAAGTTGCAGAAGTCAAAGTTATCTTCACTATAGCTGGCCTTTCTTGCCTTTCTCTATATCTAGTCACAAGAAGAGTAAGGAATTCTCATTCTAATGAATAATTCTCATCCAGAATGTCAAAAAAGCAGAGAAAATCTGGCCTCCGGCGCCTCGTCGCCCTTTCAAAACGCTGGCCGCGCGCCGCCGCGCCGGACCGCGCTTGTGCAAAGAGGGTTTTTATAAAAACCCGGTTTTGCTTGAAAAACCACCCACAGCCACAGCCCTCAGAAGAGGCCCCCAGGAGGGGAAGCCCAGAAGAGGGGTGCTGCAAGAAAAAGGGCCCCCCCCTTGGGTTCCCCTAAAGAGCCTCTACATATGGTGTGCTAAGTCTAGGAAGTGCAGCTAGAAGTACAGGTATGCTAGGTTTATCTACATAAATACACACTACAGGTTCCCTACCTAAGAATCTCAGACGGGGCCTTCAAAGCTTCGGCCTGGAAAGCAGTTCGAGAGGAAGAACGAATTTGAAAAAGAACCCCTGTGGCTTTCTCTTCTACCGCAAAGAAGTTTTCATCTTCTAACTGAACATTTGAACAAAAAATCCAAGCTTCTAAATTCGCGGAGCCGGGTCGCGAATAACTTTCAGAGCCATATCTGTCTCTGTTCTCAGGCTTAGAGTCTAGAGTGGAGTTTCGGGTGGTTTTGGATGTTGTTCTGTTTTGTGCTTCTTTCTCTCTCGCCTTCAGCACGTCATTGCACCTCCAAACCTTAAAATCACCATATTACATCGATCCATATATACTGTCGATACAGGATATGAAATGTTACCAACAAAGTCTTTGGGTAGGTCAGCATGAGAGCTCCCAGAATCCCTTGAGAGACCCAGAAATGTTACCAGAAACATTTGGGTGGTCCTAGGCCTTAAGGCCAGGGCCACATGCAGCTGCAACCGCTGCGAGCCCTCTTGCATGACTGCTCTCATGCAGCCGAGGTTGCATGCGCTGCAGCGCCGCTTGGTTCAATGTTGGGCAGCTTTCTTGGGCTCTTTGACTCGCGCATGGAAGCCTGGGTTCATGGCGGCGCGAAACCTGAATCTCTGTAAACGCTTGTGCGCGCAGCACGGCCACGGAACGTGCACGCGGCCCAGCGGTGCGCCTCGGAATTTGCCAGTCTGCACGGTCAGGCTACAAATATTGAAAGCTGACCGCCAGGGGGTTCAGGGGTTCGAAGAGAACTCGGACCTGCCTGCCATCCGATGCAGCTCCCTCAAGCGAAACGGGCAGCTCCCACAAAAGAGGGGGCCACGGCAACTATTGTGAAGGGGTGTGAAAGGGGTGAAGGAGACCAGGTCCAGTTCCAGATGGCGGGAGCCACCGCAAGTTCATCACATTCCAGCTCCAGATGGTACGTCTTTGGTCCATTGGGCCTTAAGCACTGCAAGCAAGAAGAAGTAGTTTCCCTTCAGGAAGGGCTTACCCCTTGCCGCACAGCACCTCGAAGCCATAGCACCCGCCCTGAGCAATCTCATTTCCCCGTTCCTAAGTCCCAGAGACCAAAAGAAACCCTTCTGAGCCCTCCAAAGCCTCGGCAAGCCTCAGCGGTCAGGTCGCAGATTGCAGAGCTCCAGGCTTCGTCTTTTGGGCCTCAGAGGGGAAGAGGGAGGAGAAGTGAGAGAAGGATTTGTGCGTTTGTTTGTTTGTTTGTTTGTTTGTTTGTTTGTTTGTTTGTTTGTTTGTTTGTTTGTTTATGTTTATGTTTCTTTTTCTTCTTTTCTCTCCGGGGAGCTCAGATAATTTTGTGCGTCCTTAGATTTTGGTGCGTATCCGCCTCTCCTTTTTCTTTCTGAGTTCACGCGTTCGGCACATGAGACTAGTGCTGTTCTTACGGGCTTTGCATCATTTGCATCCCACTTTGACGTCGCAGGGTAAGATCACCTGGAAGATGCGGTACCTGCATTGGCTCCTTGGCTGCGTGAGAGGATGCAAGGTTGTTTACGTCTGCCCTTGCATGCCATGTCTACAGACAAGATGAAGAGAAGCGCCCCTGCGTGTGATGTGAGAATGTCTTGACGTGGACTGCGCCATGAGGCCCAGGACCTTCCGTCCTGGCGGGGTTTGGATGGACTGGAGGTGAGGTTTCTAGTGCCATCCCTTCTCTCAGGTTGTCCCGGTCTTCTGTGGACCTTCCCTTTCGTTGGCCGTGCCTTTGCTTGACACATACTGGAGATGCTTGGTTTGGTTTCAATATGTAGTTCCCGAAGCCGCGCAGAAGAGGGAAAGGTTTCTCATCGATACTTACAGGAAAGTAGAACTTCTGCAGGGTATTCCCTCAATAACTGTGCCCATGCCTGTAGCTTTTCATGGCCTGGCTGGGCCCAAGCCCCTAAGCCCTAAACGCTGAACCACAAAAAGCGGTGCTGGACCCCTCCAGTTGACGAAGGTCGACGCCTTGGAAGGACATCTTCATCGGAAGCGACAAGACAGACAGGCGAAAGTCGGCGAAGGCTGTGCCGAAGTCCAGGGGGCTCTTTAAGTGGAAAGGACACTCCAGTGTCAGACAAGCTGTTTCAAAACTCCCTTCGGCCATTGACCCCCCGTATCGATGACCTCTCGGCGGAAGACTTGGATGTGCCGACAAGCAATCTGAGAGTGATAGCCCCCTTGGCATGCTGCCTGCAACAGAGCTCGCTGGAAATCAGTGGTCGCCGTCGGAGTTGTTGAATAGGTATGTTCTTCAGGGGTGTGTCGGCCGAGAATGCTGGAATGCACTTTGGAGCAGCGGTCACGACGAGTGGCTGGGAGTTATGTGAGATCAACACGAAAGTGCTGTTGCTGAAAGTGCATGAGATCAGGTGTTGAAGTACGTCCACTTGTCTCTTGTGCTCACGTGGCCTGACAGCATTGAAACGGGGCTCAGTGATTTTCTGCTTAAGACTGCCGAGGCCGGGTTCTCAGCATTTCTTACCGCGTTTTGTCTGTGTCCTTGCATTTGCAGGAGGGGGTCGAGAAGGGCATCTTTCTATGTTCGGTCGCAGAGCTTCCAAGTGACTAGGTACAAAATTCGGCAAGAAGCAATGGCAGCACTTCAGAAAGCTGCTGTCTTCCCAGAAGGCTCGGTTCTCAAGTAGACACAGCCTTGTGGGAACAATTCCACGAAGCGTCTCTCAGGGTCCGGAGTCCAGAGCCGTTCTCGGGACAGGGTTGTCCATTCTGCAGTCAGAGTATGCTGAGACGCCAGCTTTCTTGGTTTGAGCGGTGTGATCTAGCCACCAGCTGCCGTTGCCATGCAGGTCAAGTGGACGTGGTTACTGATGACGCTTCCGCTGACACAGCAAAGGTTTAGCGGCATGCGTAGTAGCAGGGTAGGCCTGAGCCTCCCCACTAGCACCGTGTTCACGAAAAGGAAGGGTGGATGCATATTGCTTATTGTTGACGAGTGTGGCACGGTGCAACTTGTGCAGCATCTGCAGCTCGCCTAAGACCCTGAAGACCTTTCTGTCCTAGGTAGGATAAGGGGGACCCTTAAAAGGGAACCCCTTCTTAACCCTCTTCTGGCTCTCTTAAACAGGGACCTTATTCAGAGGGTCTATATCCCCAAGGGCCCCCCTAATCCTATCCCCTATTCTGATGCCTTGAGCTCAGACCCGAAATCCATGCTCAGGACCTGTTCACCATCACTTCTGCTGCTTATGAACTGCTTCACAAGGCCGAGAGCGAAAAAGCAGAGCAAATTACAGGTCATTCACGAAAGGGTGGTGAGTATCGCGGGAACTCTTCAGCCCTAAGCCCGAAACGCTGCGAAGTTTCGGAGAAGCGAACTTGGCTTGCACACCCCAAGGCCATTGAACAGGCGGGGTTCGACGGCGGCCTGTGCAAGGTGCTGGACCGAGGCGCGCATTTCTCCTCTTACGAGCAATAGCCGTACGAGTATCAAAAAGTTGTTTCTGTTCAGAGTACAATGCAAATACTGTCAGTACGATCATAGTAATCGTGATGATGTTTACTTGCATTAACATAGGCAACCCAAATCCGGAGCAAGAAGCTGTGCCATCAGTGAAAGCGCTCCAACACTGGGCCGGGCGACTCGAAGTTCTGAAGGGAGCTGAGATGTCAAGGGTCCACGGGGGTTCGGAAGCTATGTGCTAAAGAAGTGCAACAGGATGTTGAAGGAAGCTTCGCTGCATTTTGTCTGTTTCGGCTGCGCGTGGCTGCATGAGGTCTGCTAGCTGCTGGCTTTGTTGGTATTGCTTAGTACCAACATGACTATTGCGCAAGACTGTTGCTGTTGCTCTTGCTGTTGCAGGCCTTGCTTTTACTACTTTTGCTAAATGGGGTTTAGAGACTGCTATTACGATTCAACCTTGCCGTGTGAATGTGTCGTTGCAGGCGATGCGATTGGTGATGCCTTTCACCAGTTCGCTGTCCAGGCGGGTCTTGAGCAGCCACTTCCGACTGCCTCTTTGCCCTTTGGGGGCCTTAGGACTGAAGGCTCCAGGCATCGGGACATATCGGGACCATGGTCGCGAGCAATTAGTTCGATCCCAACGGGTATGGGTTCAAGTGTTGCTCCTCTCCTCGTGTTGTTCTTTCCTCTTTTTGGTCCAAAGCATTTTCAAATGCTCCATTGGAAAGTGGACGTGGCGAGAGCAGCGGCAGAGAGAAGGCCAGGGGCCTAGGGCTGACCTCCGTCGTCCTGTGCCGGAAAAGTAAGGAAGCGGCAGCCTAAAGCCACGCCGTTTCAGGAAAGGTGACTCAAGATGCTGCAGATTCCCACCTGCCAGCACCTCTGTGTGTGCTGGTTGAGGGGATCTGCGATTCTGTAGCTTCCTTTGTCAACTTGGCGCCGATGCACTTTGTGCGATGCAGAAGCGCTTGGTCAGGTGGACCTGGTACCCTTCGCCCAGTTGCTTCGACAGCACAGGGCGGAGTTTGCATTGCTGCATTTGGATTGTTTCGGGAAGGTTTCGGCTATTCACCTTGGGCCGTGAGCTTGAGGGTTTCCCTCCTTCGGTTAGGATAGAGGAGTGCCGTTCGCCTCCTTCCACTGAATCCTCTTCCCATGCAGTCCCCTTAAAGGAGCTCATCCATGCATGGCTCTGCCATGGGTCTGTTCATGGCATGTGTGCGACAGGCGTAAGACAGGATTACCCCCAACTGCTGAAGGTCTTCAGCCCTGTTTGGGCTTGCCGAGAGCATGCCTAAGGCCTATACGCAGAAAGCCATGGCTCTGAACATGTTCGCGCTTGGCGGACCGTAGTTATAAGTGGTACTCTGGCAATATCTGGCAACAGCTGCTGCAGCTTGTGAGGCTTCTCTGTCCCTCTGTGTGTGTGTGTGTGTGTGCACCTCTTCTTCCGACAATGCGCAGACTGCTGCTCGGTGCAAGGTTCCTTCCAAGTCCTCTGGACATGGTTCTGAACCAGACAGCCTACCAGGCGTGCCCCGCAGACAACAACAACTTCGAAGCTTACAACATGTCAGGAAGCTCCACTTATGTTGTAGGATGCTCAAAGCCGGGCACTAAAACTACTCGTCGTTTAGCTCCCACGCAAAGACATGTAAAGAAGTGCGGATGTGCAGGTGGTGCGAGGGGAGGCCCCGGCGCCCAGCACCTGCACCCACGCCGAGGCGCCACAGTGCCAGCAGGCGCAGAGGGGGGCCCAAAAGACATGCTAATTTCATGATCGTTCCAGGCCCTGCATAATTTTTTCAGCTCAGTCCACGGAAGGAAGAGCAGCATAAGATGGTAACGTGCTCTGCCAGGGCTTCTTCGGCACAAGTGGGTGCGGTGCTTCCCTTCCCGCCTCTTGTGCGTGCAACTCAGGCCACGGAGATGTTCTGCCCCTACTGCTTGCACTCAGACCACCTGGAAGGTGAATATTGGCCGCGGCCCCTGCATACAAACAGAGGGGAGATGTGCAGCCCGAGTTTTGAGCAAAAGAAGCGCGCACCCGCGAAACGGATCCACCTGAAGCATGCTGAAGAGCAAGCCCCCCCCTTCAGCTTGCTTTGCTCTTTCTCAGGTTTTTTGTTGACATGATGGCGGCCACTGTGATGAATGCACTGTCCGACGGTTTGAAGGCGCAAGATCACCTCAGCAGTCTTTCGAAGTGCCTTGGCGGGCTTTGGCTGGCAATGCCTTGTGCTACCGTGAGGCCTCCTAAAGAAAGCGAGCACAAACTTCACAGAACTTCACAGGCTTCACAGGAATATCTGTTTTCTGCAGTCATGGATCCCTGAATTGAAGCCGAACATGCGAACATCATCAGTCGCAATACAAGTTCCACTCAGCTTAGCAAGTCCTTTGCTGCTCCATAGGTCTTCTTTAAAGAAGCCTTCGGATGTCTTCGTCCAGTGCTGAAAGTTTCGAAACAACGAGAAGTTCCTGCTCTCCCTGAATGTTCAGCCTGACATGCCAAACTCTGAGAGGGTGCTCCAAGCAGCAATCTGCTCCCTCAGACCTTCCCCCAAAACACCTGAAACCCTCAAGCCCCGCTTTGACCGCCTACCCAGGAGCTGCCAGAAGTTCTTCGGGCCAAAGTTTTCATAAGAATCCCCGGCGACCGCAAAAAACGCTGCGTGCGGGTTCAGGGCTTGTCTGAAAAATAGGGGCAGTCCTGTAAATTGTGGGCCCTTTTTGGGGACGCTTGCAAGGGCCCGCATCATACTAGGCAACCTAAACGGAATGTTGGAGAGTCATGATGGTGTGCGTTTGTTTTTTGTACTTTTTTGAAGGTTTTTTGCGAGCTTTGGAAGGGTTTACAGTTGAGGGGTTCAGGCTTCAGGGTTGTACGCAAGCCAGTTCTGGAGCAAGTCTTGAAATTTGCTTCGGTTTTTGAACTTTCTTTGTCATACGCCAGCTTGGGTTGCATTGTGCACGTCTCCACTTCTTCTCCATAACAGCCCTTCGCCTGACTGCCGGAGCTCCCATGTTCTCATTCCCAGTATCGACTGCCTTCACCCTACAATTCATGATCATTGACGTAATTCAGGGTCTGAGCCCTTGGCTTCTCCCCCCATTTGGCAACAGCTCCGGCCCGTCATTTCTCTTCAAGCCATGGCGGTATCCATCTCCGTTGGTTTGTTGAGCGGCGAGAAAGTTGCTGTTTTATTGACAGAGGGTTCCTCGGTTGATGAGTTGCGGAAGCAGGCGCAGCGCTCCTTGAGGGTCAGCATTGCCCAGCTCATCACTGCATCGGGAGAAGTGCTGCAAAGACCTGCGACGCTCCAAGAAGCCTGCATCAAAGACGGGGATTCACTCACGGCTGTTGTGGGGCAGCCGGCCGTGGCAGCCGCGCTCAATGCCTTTGCTGCCATTCGGGCAGACGGCTCGGTAGTGGCATGGGGTGGCCCCCCAATCGACGAAGACGAAAGTGGGGACCCTGGGAATTGTACCGCTGTTCAAAGTCAGCTGCAAAGAGTCACTCATATTCAGGCCGCCTACTGTGCTTTTGCTGCCCTCCGGGAGGATGGGTCCGTTGTGACGTGGGGAGATGACGTGGCCGGCGGGGACAGCTCCAGTGTGCAGGACCAGCTGTACGATGTTTGCAGTCTTCAGTCTTCAATGCATGCGTTTGCTGCACTCAAGAAGGATGGATCAGTGGTCACCTGGGGCTTGGGGTTAGCAGGCGACAGCACCAGCGTCCGTGGTCAGCTGCATGACGTGCGAGCAATCCAGTCTGATGAGAACCATTTCGCTGCTCTCCGAGCGGACGGAGTTGTTGTGTATTGGGGCGACTACGCGAACAAGGTGGGCTTCGAAGTGCTTGATTTGCTCCGCGACGTCCTGTGGATTCAGGGCTCGTTGGACGGTTTTGCTGCTGTCAAGGCCAAAGGGAAGCTGGTCTTCTTCGGTGTAGCCGATCCAGACTTTGGGGATATCTTCCCACGTGGCGAAAAGCCCGGCGACACGCTTTCTAGCGTCCACGAAACAGGTCTTCCAGACGTCTGCCATTTGCAGTTTTGTCGGACGTGCTGGGCTGCAGCATCCCAGGACGGCAAGCTTGCGACTTTTGGGCCAGTTAACTCAACGTTGTCTTCGCTCGTGGCATGCCCCGCGCCGCATACAATTGGAGATGTTGTGGGTATTCAGAGTTATGCCCGGTATGATTTAGCTGCCTTTGCAGCGATTCGCAGGGATGGATCCGTTGTAACGTGGGGGGATGGTCTCGCGGGCGGCGACAGCAGTGCAGTTCAGAATGAGCTCAAGAACGTTGTTCAAGTTCAGGCGGCAGGGTCAGCCTTTGCAGCTCTGCGGACTGATGGTTCTGTGGTCACTTGGGGACGTTCTGACGCAGGCGACAGTCGCAGGGTGCAAGCGCAGCTGAAGAACATCACAAGCATACAGACAAATGGCGCTGCCTTTGCTGCTCTTCGAGCTGACGGATCTGTGATCACTTGGGGTTCTAGGGTAGAAGGGGGTGACAGCAGCCTGGCGCAGGGGCTGCTTCAGGATGTTACGTGCATTCAAGCCAGCAACGCTGCTTTTGCTGCTATTCGGGTCGACGGATCAATCGTCACTTGGGGACGAGCGTGTGCTGGTGCCTGCAGCAAACGGGTTCGGGAAGAACTCGGCAGGACAGAAGCAGCTACTGGACCGCAACTAGATTGAGAAGGTACATTGGGGGGACTTGGTGAGGTCAGACAAACCAAGCAGGACAGTATGGTAGGAGTATCGAAGAAACCACAGAACGGGGCGGTTTCTCCAGATCGTTCAAGCTTACACGTGGCCGCATTTGGAATTACTCGGCTTGCTGGAAGCTTCGTTGTGGAGGAGTCTAAGAGCCGGTGAGCTCCCCAAAGCCGATGCTCCTCTAAGGACCTGGAGGTGGAAATCTGGGCAGAGGCCCAGGTAGAAGCCCGACGTGAGGCGATCCAAGCACTAGATGGTTTCGCATACCACGCTCTCCTGTTAGTTTTGCTTGTAGTTTTAGTTTAGTTTGTACAGTTAGGATAGTATAGTTAGTATAGTTAATATAGTTAGTATACTAAGTTAGTATAGTTAGTATAGTTAGTTTAGCTAGTAGAGTGTACCATACTATATGCTATATGCAGCATATGAAAAAGTAGTGGTTCAAACTCGAGCCCAGTTTCCTGAGTTAAAGGCACAACAGATTTTCGATGTTCGTCCGAGTGCGTATTAGGGGCTAAGTCCAAGGAGCACAAGGCTCCGCGAACCTCGGTAGCATGGAACGTGGGCGTCATTACGGTTTTGATGCCCTCCCCATACAGAAACAGTTTTCTTAAGACCTATAGCTACAAATACCACTCTTATCATCGGACTCCACTACTTTCCTTTAAATCATTGTTCCTTCCATGGGTCTTCCGAGCCTTTGGGCAAGGGTATAGAGCTTCGGAATACAGGTATCTGAGGTTTTCATGGGTTCTAGTCTTGGGGGCTTGGAAGAATATTCAGGTTTTGGGTCAACTCGCGTTGTACTATCGGATCTCTTGGCACTCAGAACTGGATTTTTGACAAGGCTAGAGGCCCCCTTGGCTCAGACAAAGCTGCCTAGCTGCAGGGCTTCAGGCTTAGGGGGTTTGGCTGTTTTTGGTCGCAACTTATCTCCTGGCCTTGGAGAGTCTCTTCCCCAAGCTCTCTTTTCCATGCAAGAAATGGACCCCCACGTAAACCCCTGAATCCTAAACCCAACCGATCTGGCTTTGTGGATTGCCAGGCCAAGCTAGCGCAAAGAACCAAAGCTGGGGCCAAGCCCTGCTTCGGGCCCCTTGACACAAATTTGAGTTTGGGGTTTAGGGACTTGAGGAGTTGAGGAGTTGAGGAGTTGGGGGTTCAGGATTGAGGGTTGACGATTCAGGATGGAGGGTGCCTGTTCAGGGCTGTTTTTTGCGCCTAGAAACCGGGCTTTTGGCAGGTTTGGGCATCCTTTCGGGCTTAGGAGGTGGCATGTTCGAGTTTGGGGTTCATGGTTTCGGGGGCGGATTTTCCTCGGAATGAATTTGTTAGCAGGTCTATGGGTTAAGGCTTTAGGTCTGAGGGGGTTGCTTCATTCAGAGAACTTGCCCCTTGAGACGTGCCTGTTGCTTCGAAGATGCTCATCGTTGTCAAAGACGCTCAACTCCCTCAACCCTTGACTCTGAAACATGTTCGGCTCTGCCACAGCTCCAAAGACAAGGTTGAGGGTGGCCAAGCGTCGGAAGAGGGGCGGCTGACGGTACTGTGTTAGGGGGTCGAGAAAGATTCATTCAATCGTTGTCGTACGTCGTGGGCCTTTTAGATGAGATGCTTGCTGCAACATACCATAGTTGAATGTACTTGGGTACTTGGCTAGTTCCAGGGTGTTTGTGCGGTGCTGACGTTTCAAGCCGTGGCTTGACAACAGCGGTGGCCGACATGACAAAAAGTCTTGCTGCTGTGACCCGATTTGGCCTGTTTCTGCGGCGTCTAGGGCGGAATTTTGGGTGTTGAGGGCGCGGGTGGATGAGGGTACCCGGTTGTTCGTGTTCTACCCTCTCAGGGTGTCGGCAGCTGAGTCGATCCAACTTGGCAGATCCCCTCCCAGTCCTTCCTCACTTGCCGCGCTCAATCGACATCGAACGGGTCAATCGAAACAGGTTTCAGCTGAGACAGGATGGTTGTTCAGGGTGGTGTTGGTTAAAGCAGCTGACACTGTAAAAGGTCAAGAGCCGGTATCCGGTATGTTCTTTTGAGCTGTCGCAGCATGACATCTTTGAACGCTGGCGAGCTTTCTGGCGTGGTGACGATTGCCTGTGTTTGTTTCATCCATGGCTCCAGCTTTTTGATGCTTCGACGACCCAAGGTAGTTAGACATCAGAATACGTTCAGTTCACGACGGTGATGAGTCCACGACGGTGATGAGTTTGGCCTCACCCCGACATTATGTTTTTTATCTGCTTGCACTGCTTGAACCTTCGATGGAACTGTAGTTGTTTATTAGATGCACACCTGCGTGTCCATCACCGTTTCGGCGCGAGCAGCATGCCTAAACAGGCTTGGTTGCACGTTCAGGGTTCAGGGTTCAGAGTTTTGGGTTTAGGGTTTAGGGGCCTCGACTTTTCCATTTCACCCGTTTTCAGACTTGGTTCTGGCACTGTCCAGTGTTCGCAGATCGTGAAGTTGCCCTTTGCAGTATGTAACTTCGGGTTTGTGCAGTGGTCCAACTTGAGTGGCCCAACTTGCACCCAAAAAAGGCTAAAGGGGCCCCAGGTTGCTTTCAGCTTACTAGAGCGCTCTCAGCTCCAAACCCTCAAACCTCCTTGGTCCAAGGCATACAGCGCGCTTTACGTGTTCTCGCTGTGCTTCGCGTCCCAACACCTACATGGCCAGGCGATTTGGGAGCTAAACGCAATCAGTCAGCAGCCCCTCTTTTGCAAAAGCATGTAGAGCTCAGAGTTACGGATTTGCCACGAGTCATTCGCTGTAGCTGATGGAGTGCCAAGGTTCCCAGAAAGACACAGACATGAACTGACATGAACTGACATGAACTGTACGCGTGTTTGTTGCTTGTGCCGGGCTTTCCTACTTGTTTGGGGCGTTGGCACTAGTTGCTAGTGTCATGCTTCACGCCTCTGTATCAATCCACCAACAATTGGCAGGCTCAATTCCTGCAGCGTGCTTCAACCACGCCAGCGCCCAGCAACGGAGGCTTAGGCGCTCTTCACGGAGAGTCTTTGCTTTAGTTCTACGAAGCCTTTGATGGGGGATGCTCTAGATGATAACTGTTCTTGGGGCCGGTATCCGAGTATAGTCCTTTCATTTAGGGGGTGCCGGGAAGGGGCCATGGTTTAAAGCCATCCACATCTCTAGCAAGGGGGCACTGGAATTTGACCTGTCAGGTAAGGAGGAGCAGCGAGCAATCAACGAGCTGTTGACCGTCGTAGGCGGACCTTCTCATTGGCAGCAGAACTCCGAGTGCTCAATCGCTTTGCATTTGCCCAGCCTTCGGGGTTTTGTATCCTTCGAACCTTGATGGAAGTAAGGCTTTCTACGTGCTTGTTCATGTACATGAGGAACCCTTACTAAGCCGGATCAGAGAGAAAGTTGCACACACACACACACAAGCTTCGAAGCCTGGAGAGTGCACCCTTCTCCTGATCTGCGTTTGCTTCCAGGCCCTTAAGGTGGAGCCCACGAAGGAAAGGAATGAGGTGTTAAAGCCTCTACAAGACCTCTCGCATGCTTGTGTGAGCGAAACCTGCATCAGCGTGGACCCAGGGCCCCTGAGCCTCCTAAAACTCCACCAAAAGCCCTAAGAGCCCGAAAAGCAGCTTGCAGGCCTCATTTGCTCTCCCATCCTCTTGGGCCTGCTGGTGGGCCTTTTTAGGCGGGGTCCCCAAGCTTTGGAGTGTCCTGGGCTTTGGGGGCACCCCTGCAGGCCATTTGGAGTCTTTAAAAGGGGCTTTAGGGCTTTGCAGGGACTTTGGGGACTTAGGATTGAGCCCGAAAAACCGCAAAGCATCCGTTCACCCAGTATCACCTAGTATCACCTTCCTGACGATCCAAAGTAGGTTTACGATCATTGGTAAAGAGGCACCGCCCTTCCGCTGTCAAACCCCTGAATTTTCCTGACACAAAAGGTATCGAAGAACCCTCATCCAGATGTTGCCGGCAGCACGCTCAGCATCCTAGAGTTCCTAAACCGGGTTGCTGCTCAGGAACGTAACCTGAGTGACCATCGTTTTGGCTATGCGTAGCGTAGCGAAAGTATCTCGTCTCCTGACTCGGTGGTCGTTTTAAGTTCTGTTCTGACGTCAGACCAAGTAAATCGGTCTGGGGCCTGCTGTTGAACAGCCTGGCCTTTGCAGGACATGACGAGAAGCTTCTAAAGGCTTTAAAGGCTACTACGGGGGATCTGCTTTTATGGAACCACCAAAAGCACGGGAAGCAAGCATAGATATCTTCTTTTGTTGTGCAGTGATTCTGAAAGAAGGGTTCTTGAAGCTAGGACCACGGCGGCCATGCGAACCGCATCAGAAACATCGCGCGGGGACCATCTTGAACTGAAAGCCCCCAATCCCCCCAACCCCAAACTGCCCCAAGCCCCAAACTTTAAGCCATCTTGAGTCATCGTGCAAGCATCGGTGATAATCACTTCGCTGCCCCAACACCAGAGCTACGATCCGTCGACCGACCTCATCACATGCTGAAACCCTCACCCTGAAACCTCCAGACTTCGGCTCTCATGTCTAAAGCCTCGAAAACCTGTATGTAAACTCAAAGCACCCCTATGAAACCGACACCCTCCAAGTTTTGCTTCGCACTTTTGACTCATTTAAGTGGGGTTAGTATTGCGGGTGGGGAGTGCAATAGGGTTTCTTGGGGATGCTAAGCAGACTTACGAAGTCAAAGGCGCTTCTAAGCTAAGGCTTATATACCTTCGGGGTTTAGGCCCCCTCCCCAAAGTCCACCACCACATCCTGCAACTTCTGAAAGCCTAAGGAGTTGATAGTCAAGGAGTCGAAGGAGTTTAGGGATTCTAAGGGTTACGGTGAAATCCGCTGCGCCCAGGAGTTTCATTCCAACAAGGCTGGGTCCAAGAAGGAGGGTCCCCCCAAGTTCAGGCAAACTCGTGGGACTTCTTCATTTCGCGATCTCTTGTGCTCTTCGAGCTCCAAGTTTTTTTCCTTGCCGCGGAGCACTGCAGGAGTTAAAGCGGTTAAGCGCAGCCTCATTTGGGTGACCATATGCTTTTAGATTTTGCTCTGGACGATGTTTGTATCTTTGATTTGCTCATCGGGGTTCCCAGAGTCATGTTGCCGTGCTTGGTCCAGTTGTGTGTTCTGAAATTGTGTTCAGTAGCAGGAATTGGATTGCTCGGAGACCTTATAAATATTGTGATTATTATTGTTATTGTTATTATTATTACTATTATTATTAGCGTTGTTATTTCTATTGTTATTGTGATTATTGTTATCAGGATTATGATTAGATTCTTCTTGTCTCTTGTTTATTACTAGGAATATTTTATTAGTTTTGCTTTTATGAATATGCTAGCGTTTTTTTTGGTGCCGTTTTCCATCGGCATGTTGCTATCACTGGAGTTCCTGGATTGCAGCTTCGTCCATGCAACAGAGCTCGTCGCCCACTTGCCCTGTGCAGCTTGAACCTGCAGAAAGCCAGCAGCCTGTAGTGCCCTGGAGGCCTTAAGCCCGACCCCAAAACTCCAACTCCATGTCCCATTTCCCTGCAAACGACGCTTCGACTTCGGATTGAACCTTAAACGATAAAACCCTAAACCCCAAACCCTACAAACGCTTAAAGCCCTGCAGGTCACAGACAAGGAGCGGAAGTTTTTCAAAGCGGCCGGGGCCCTTCCGCTGTGCTTTGACAAGCTGGTGCCACTCCAAAGCTATCGGGTTTTCAGGGTTTAGGGTTTGGGTTTAGGGTGCTGGACATTCAAATGGGTAGCTTCTTTCAGTCGTTGCAGATGCTTGCAGAGGGCGGACGCCCCACAAGGTGACAATCGGTGGGGGGGGTCGCCTGAGACCCTTAAACACCCTCACAGCTCTCTCCCCTTAAACCCACATGAGGATCAGCATTATTGGTATTATCATGCCTACAACTCTCATGCTCCTTGTTCTGATGATTCTCGTTGCTGTTCTTTGACGGCCCCCCGGGTTGGTCGAGGCGGAGACTCAGAAGGCCCGGGCCGAGGAACTGCGAACCGCCGCCGACCCCGTGGCCGAAGGCCGCAGCGCAGGGCCCCCCATAAAGCCATCCAAAGGTTCCAAAGGGCCCCCAAAGTCGCAAAGGGCCGCCCCTTCGGGGTTTTGGGGCGGCTTAAGGGCAGTTTAAGGGCGGTTTAAGGGCGGTTTAGGGCGGGTTGGGGTTTTCAGGGTTTAGGTCAGTTTAGGGTTTAAGGCCTACACTGACTGCGTCACGGTTGCGTGAGGGGCCTGGACTTGGGGGTGGTTTCGAAGATTCCTATCCCTTTTTGCTGTGTTCCCTCTGTTACGAGCTCAGGGGTACTAGGCTCCTGCAAAGCAAGCCGGCAAAGCCGGGCTGAACAGGTCCCGTGTTCCTCCCGGCGCAGCCCAAAAGGGATTTGGGCCCTTTGAACGACGTGGAGGCGCGCTCTGGGTGGTTTGTGAGCGAGGTTGGGCTGTTTTTAAAGCCCGGCTTGCATGTTTCCGCCTGAAGCTCCTTGTCTGTTTTCCCTAAAGCCCCTTACCTCCCCGAACCTCCCCTAAGCACCCCAAATCTCCTTTGCTGAGGCATTCTTCCGCGCTTCTTCGGCGGAGGTGACTTTCTCAACAATGTCTAGTTGTTTCTCAAGGGTCTAGGGTTTTCGGTGTAGGGGGGGCCAAATCAGGATTTCAACAGGGCCCCCAACTTGATCATGGAATCGGAGGACTGCCCACTTAGAGTTAGCGGGTGGTTTTGGGATGGAATGGAACGGGGCAGAGATGAAGGGTGCAAAAGCGGGTGTGTGTGTGTGTGTGTGTGTTGGCTCGCAGATCGGAGGTACCAGTATTGGCTGTCAGGAAGGTTGCTTGAGTGTGTGTGTGTGTGTGTGTGTGGGGGGGAAGCAAAGCCGGGAAGAGCTGAGAGCACCCGCAGTGCCTTTTTTGGAGTGGGGGTTTGTCCGGGGGTCTATGGCCATTTAAAGGGTTCGGGCGTGTTGAGGCGCGGCTGTGCGCCTTGATATGCCATCTATGAGCCCTCATTCCTGAACCCCGAGCTCCAATTCCCTTAGCTCCCCCCAGTGACCCTGGTGCCTGGCCAGGATGACGATCGCAGTGTGTTCGCCCATAGCAGCTGGATTTGGTTGGCCCCCATTAAGACCGCTGAAAGAGCCCTTAAAGCGTCGGAGTCCTTCCGGCGTTGCTCCAGGGGCATCTGCTACCGTGCAGTTGGATGAGGGCAGCTTAGTTGAAGGCTTCGCGTCGACCACACATTTCCAACGGTGGTCATGTCCCGTTATGGGTTTCTCGGGCTGACAGCAAGACATCCGGCAAAGGTGCTATTGTTTACGGCTTTTCTGGTTGCAATGTCCAGTACATCCATGTATGTGGCATTTCAAGCAGCGCAGTTTTCAACAGCCCATCCGTGAGTCGTATTGAGCGCGCGTGAGCTCATTGTCCGAAGGTGTGAGCACATGAATGCACAACTCTTTCGCTCCTCCTGTATTCGAGTCTAAACTTAGATGAGATTGACATAAATATACTCAGGGTTAAAAAGGTTCACATGCCAGGATATGAAGAAGTGCAGGTCCAAGGCGCCTCGAAACCCCCCCTTCCTCCATCCTCAGGCTCCAAAGCATCTGCCAGCACCGAGAGCTTGACGGGTCGCAATGAGGCTGTCAGACATCACGACCGACCGATGCCCCATCCCACCCCTCCTCAGCCAAGGCCCACCTAGTCTGGGACTCTGGGTTCAAAAACCTGCGCATCTGACCTCAAACCCTCGCTGCGTCTCCTCGCCTGCATTCCACATGAACTCCAAACAGCCCCAGCGCACATCCCTCAAATGCCCAAGACTGAAAGCCCCTCTGGCATCCAGGAAGCTCAAAGACAAAGCGCCCCCAAAAGCACCGACTCTTGCCAGTTGGACGAGTCTATTGGGAGCCGCCGGCAAGCGAGCAAGGCCAGCTCGAAAGACAGCAAGGCCAGCTCCCTGGGCTGTGTGTGTGTGTGTGTGTGTGTGTGTGTGTGTGTGTGTGTGTGTGTGTGTGTGTAAGACCGTTCAGACCTTGCTGTGATATCAAGAGATGTGGCTCTCTTGAAGTCCCTGCAGATCTCAGGTGGACAGGACCCATATCCACCTTTGCTGCTTATGACGTAATGTGTGTGTGTATATATATATATATATATACATATATGTGTGTGTAAGTAAGCGTGCAAGTAAGTGTGTGTGTGTGTGTGTAGGTGTGTGTAAGTGTGTGATGGGCCATCCACCCGAGCTGTCCTTGTTAGACATCGAGATTCAAGCCGCTGCTTCTTTGAAGAGGCTGTGGCTTCTCTTATTTTCCGAAGAGGACATCTGAAGGATCACCCCCTCCCAAAGGGGGCCACGTGCCTCCAGCCGGAAGTCTGACCACCTGTAACCTGTGTTTGCGCCGATCTCCCGGTGCAGGCAGCCATGATCACCGGCCGAGCCGACGCTGACTTACATGCCCGAAGTCCTGGACCCTAAGCCCTATCGCAAACTTTGGCAATGCAGGCTTTCTTCCCAGAACACAGAGAGAGAGAGAGAGAGAGAGAGAAGGCAAGATCTACAAAGTCATCGAAAGCAACTCAGTTGAGGTTTTGGAAGGGCATTGTCAACGCCGATCTTTAGAGATGAAATCCCTTTCCCAAGAGCTCTCCTGTCATGTACCGGGGTCCAAAGCGCTAAACACTAGGCCCTGGTGATTTGAAGAAACAGCCTTGGAGCCAGAAGTCGTGGCAGGCTTGACCAGATCGACGAGTGATCTGTCAGAAGGCTGTGGGGCATCCCTCGTAGACTGGCAACATCATTGGAGCCGCTCACTGCCACGCTAGCATCACTGAAGGTCCTGGTGATGGCCATGACTCGGTAGTTAGTCTTTGTTCACCAGCCGCAGGTCATCGACAAAGGTAGACATCCCCGGAATTCCAGCCCTGGAATCCTCCTCATTGCCCAAACATGCCCAAGCCAAAACCAGCCTTAATTCTTCGATCCCGCTTTGAGCCAAGTTACTGCGAAGTGCAGGTAGTTGTGAGCACGCTGCGCGGGCACCCAGTTGGGAGGAGAAGCGGGTTTGGGGCGGGGGGGGGGCGGGGGGTGCCTTTCATCACGGATCAGACTCATACCCATGGGCAGCCAGGAGCCACAGGAGACGTTGTTCTCCCGCCCGAAGCCCCCCGAAGTCAGATCTCAACTGAGGCTGTACACCCAGAGCTCCATCCGGAGGAAGGCGCCGAAGAATTCTGTTCCGAATAATTTCTTGAACCCTCAACCGCACAAAGCTTCACAAAAACCGCTAAACCCCTCCTAAGAGAGAGAGAGAGAGAGAGAGAGAGAGCCATGCCTCCAGGTGCCCCTCCTGTTCCGAGCCTGGGCAAGGCAGGGGTTTGAAGGGGTGTTCGAGAGCGTGGCGCAGCGTGGCGCAGCGGGACCATAGCATTTTAAGGGTGTGAAAAGTTTCGGGGTATGGCCTTGTCTCGGCCTTCCTCCCCTTTCCGCATCCAGAAGTCAGGACTTCTTGCGCCTGCCCGACGAGAGTGGTCGGGTGGGCCGCAAGCCAAGAAATGGCAGCAAGCAGAGCACCGGCAGCCGCAAGGTGCCGTGGTGTCAGGTGACTTCGGTTGCGTGGGGTGCCGGCTTTGGGTGTGTCTTATAGGCTCTTTGGGGCTTAGACTTCGACTCTCCTCTTCTAGACTTTACAGGAGAAACGAGCCGCTGCTCCCCACCAGAGTACATATGTCAGTTTCTTCGTGAACATCGTTCCTGCTTTGAAGCGGCGTGCCAGGCCCAACAGCACCCCGCAGCACCCCCGCAGAATCTGGCTCAAGGCTTGAGTCTCGTCAGCCTTGTGTTGGTGTTCCGGTCCAGTCCATGCAATCGTTGCAATCCTTTCCCGAAGCAGTCTGGTACCTCGCCAGCTGCCCGGTTAAGAACACATTCCTGGACTTCCTCGATCTCGACGATCCGGTGCTCTCCGGTACGGATAAGCCTTCCGTTGCATGGAGAAGAGGCGTATCGGAGCCTCCTGCGGATCTGTCAGAAGTTGGCCGAGCCGACACGTGTGGGCAGGTTCTTGAAACCTCGGAAGCTGCCAGCAGCACGGACATTGCAGAGGAGGTAGGGCAGGTAGGGCAGGTAGGGCCCCTGGTAGAAGAGCAGCATGCAGCTGGCAGCTGCAAGCCTTGCAGGTTCTCGGATGGTACTTCAATACACAGCTGTTCAAGCTTAAGGGCGCTTAGTTGCGGAGGCTTTCTCCTTCACGAGAAAAACCCTGTGCCCTTTACCCGAGGTTCTTCGCCATGCGCGAGGAAGGCTGCCTCAAAGGAGTTTGCTGCCCCTACTGCCACTTGTGCAGCAGTGAAGTCGCTCGTGAAGATCGGAAAAAGGCCGGGGGGCATTTCCCGTTCTCTGCCTTGCGGTGCTGCCGTTAACAAGGTGCTTTAGAGCGAAATCGAAATTTGACCGAGAAGGAAACAGTCTTCTGGCATTCACATGTTGTTGCGCATTGAGAGAGAAGAATTTGTGCGCGCGCAACAGCACAGCATTTCCCCTACCCTGAACGTCGAGTGCCGGAATTTTGGAACATGCCCCCGAATAATCGGGACCGTTTTTTGAGACTTTCCAGTTGTTCGCCCACGTGCGCTTACATTTTAACGCCTTGAGGAAGCAACCGTCTTCACGCATGAAGATTTGTCTCCGCACGCTGAGAGAGAAATTAACTTGCGCGCGCACGCAGCAGCACAGCAGCTTCCCTGCTGCTAGCATCATTGTGGGACCGCACAGCAAAAGACAGGGCACGGTGCTCATGCGGAGTGCAGCAGTTGTCGGACGTGGACATGGTCTCCTTACTGCATGTCACCACTGAGGCCACGAACAAAACGCATGAGCACCATTTACGCGCTTCTGTCGTCTGCTTCATGCCCATACATGAATGCGGTCATGCGATGAACATTTCGCCCCGTTCGAGCTTCTTCGAACTGCAGCCCCTGCTTAAACATCCGCCATCGATACAGGACCACGATATCTCAACAATTGAACTTGGCCCCCGCTTAAGCACCTGCTTTCGATTTCTGCAATGGCTAGCTGGTGCATGAGGGCAGACTCGAGCATGTATAGATTGTGCCTAAATTTGCTAACATGCTTACGCAATCCAGAGATGAAGAAATGTTGCTGGCCGGCTGTTTTGTCCGCGCAAGTTCTTGTAAGGCGCCGCAGTTGCGGCTCAAGGTTGAAAGCTATAGGGGTTAAAAGCCCTGGCAAACTACAAGTACTACGAGGGGCCCGCTAGGGTCATGCGCGTGGCTCGACCGCCGCCAAATGAACTAGTCACGAATCAAGGCTCACGCGCCTGCAAGTAGGGGGCCCATCTCCACTTCTCCATGTTTGTGTGCACGGGCGGTTTACCACACAATGGTTTCTTGCTTGATTTGGTTTGTGTGCGTCTTCCAGTTTGTTGTGCGCTTTGTTGTTCTTGTTTCCTGTTTCTTCGGTATCTGCGCTTCAGTTACCAAAGCGTCCGCTGGCCAGAGCGCCCAATGCCCGACGATGATAATGTCCATGCTAGAGCATACTGTCCGTGCTACCAGTGCATCCACTGGCCGAAGCATCCATGTTCACACGTCCATGCTACCAGTGCATCCACTGCACTGGTCGAAGCATCCATGCCCAAACGATGGTACTGTCCATGTTCCACCTGTGCATCCATTCGCCGGAGAGGATCCGTGCCCGGACATTGAGAACGTCTATCCTGCAAGTGCATCCATTTGCCAGAGCATCCATGCCCAGTGATACTGTCCATGCTAGGAGTGTATCCATTGGCCAGAGCATCCATGCCGCAACGATGACAGCATCCATGCTACCAGTCTATCCGTTCACCAGCGAATCCATGTCCGAACGATGATTATGTCCATGCTGCCAGCGCAGCTGTTCACGAGTGCGTCCATGCCCGAACTCCGAACGATGAAACGCTTAGACTCGAAAGAGCGTGTGTGCGACGAAGCATCCAACACTCGAGTATCTTATGCCTTTCGAAGCCAGAAACGAAAGAAATGAAGGGGACCCCCACACGAAAAGCTGACCGGATCGCTGCTTCGTGTGGCAGGCGTGGCATTCTCGGCATATCAACCGCGGTATTTCCGACGTGCCGCTGATCGGAACTCTTATTTCGTAAGGCAGGCATGACACACTCGGCAAACACATTTTGAAACTCGCACGGTCAATTCCTCCTGGAGATGTTTGTTGCCACCCGCTTGCGATTTTGCATGGTTCATTTTTTCTGTGCAGGCGAAACCTCTGATATGCCGATCTTTTGACAAGTGCAAAGCTCTCACGGCGGTACCTCAAGTCTTTGGGTATACTGAGAAGCAGTTTTAACACCATCTGACCGTTTGTCTATCGCTGTTGGGGTCTGTTGCTGAGATTTTTGTTTTTCAGACGTTATTCTACACCCCAAAACCCAGTAAAGCTACTGGAGACCCTGAGCTCTGCGCAAGGCCAAGCACCTTGCAAGAAAGCATCGGCGGCAACTGCGCGCGCGGCAAGACGCAGGGGACGACCGCGCGTCAGAGTGAGACCAGTGACTAGGCGAATGGGTGCACGGTGCAGCTTTTTTGGCTCGGTGCAACGGACCGAGCGTAAAATACAAGCATTGAAGACTTAAGCGGGCCTCGAGACAGATTCGAGAGCTATGGCCTATGATTCTCAATGCAGTGGTATTTTGCACATCCGCTCTCTGAGAGTAGCAGGTGAGGGCAAGTCCTGCCATCGTGCGGGGGGCTGTTTCGGTATTCCTTCTTGTTGCCTGTCACAAGCATTATCTTCACATTTCCGGTGTGGTATCAGTACCGGCATCATGAGAGACAGCCCCCAGCCCCAATCTGTCTATCAAGGGAGGACCCATATCAGGGGGTCCTTTGGGCTTAGATGGGGCCACAACAAGAGGCACGTATTGTCATGACCGCAAAGAGGTGTTAGATAGGGTAGCGTAGGAGCGCAGGGTCCCATCTAGAGCGTACCCATGAAGTCAATCTGCTCACAAGATATTTCGCAGCCGCAAAACCTGGGAAAGCCTGGGGGGCTGCTGTGAGTTGTTCAGCCCGAAGCTGGAGCAGCGGAGAATCCCCCAACCTTAAGCCCTAAACTCCAAGCCCTAAACCCTAAACCTTATACTCTCAGCCCTAAACCCTAAACCCTAAGCAGAATGCGCTTGGGAGAGGACTTCGGGGAGCAAACAGGTTAGAAAGTCAGGGTTCTACGCTTGTTCCGCTTCAGCCATGGGGCTTACTGCGTTTTATGGAGCTGCAAACAGCCTCAGCTCCGCTTCTTCGAAGGAGAACTCATGTTGTAGACTTTCGGACCCGAAAAACCCTGACTTCAGGCAGGGCTGAGCATTTCGGATGCCGTCAACCTACTTGGTGCTTTTCGCTTTGTGGACAGAGGGCGTGGGGTTTTTAGGGCGGAGGTCTTGAATGGTCTTGATCTTCCGGCCGATGTTGTAACACGGAAAATCCTCCGACAAGTCGGCCCATCAAATCTGGCTCGGTCTTTTGTACAGACTGCGTGCGCGGCGCAGCGGTGGAAACGGAAATTTCGTGGGAGCGTCGGAGCGGTGGCTTACATTGACCAAGGCCTCAAGTTGCCTCAAGAATCTTTAAGCCCTTGCCCGCAGGGCGGCATCCAAAGTCCAAAACCTGAAGCCCGAAAGCACCAGAGAATCCATGATCTAACCCGAACGGCCATTAGGAGGGCCGTTAGGATGTGGGGTCATGAGGACATGGCATCTGCAGGCAATGACAGGTTATGGATCCTAGGCTGAGTTCATGGCAGGCCGCGTCTCGTTCTAGCAGCAAGAGCTCGGCCCGAAGTGGCAGCAAGGACTTTAAGTGACTTGTTCTGATGCGGAATGTGAGTTCTGGAAGTTCAATTCCGGGGTACGCACGTGGGCCCTCCTTTGGGACTGCGCGACAACCTAAAACCAGGGCACTGAATCGCAGCAAAGAAGACGGGGGGGGGAGGGAACACACCAAGCCAGTATGCCAGAAGGGCCCTCATGGATGATTCGGATGATGTATACGGTTGCCCGCATCAGTGTCCATTTGCATCGTCTCTTGCCTCATGATCATGACCGATGCCCGAAAGCACCAAAAGCAGCAAAGGGAGACATCCAACATGCCTGGGTATCAGCTCCTCTTTGGCCCCTGGCATGCCTTGAACCTTTGGGTTTTTAGGGTTTTCAGGGTCTTTGTTTTTTGCATGTCTTTATGGGCGTTTTAGGGTTTGTTTGGGTTTTCAGTTTTCTTTGGGGGGGCTTGACCTTACGCAGAAGCCCACCCCGCATTGCGAGAGCTTGTCCCCAGGAGAATCTGGGTGAAGGCGCGCGGAAGGGTCCTGCAAGATGTGGGGGAAAAGCCACAGATCCCAAAGCGTGTTAGGGTTTCGGGTTTTTAGGCGCCCTGCCTCGCGAGTTCTCGCAGGAGCTTTGCCACCTTGGGTTGAAGAGAGATTTCTATGCCATTGATTTCATGAAGATTCAATATTTTCTCCTCAAAATTCGAGGGCAAGCGTGTCGGGAGCTTTCCATCTGCCAATGGTCATGCTTCTGAGATCTCGTTCCCACCTGTGTAGCCCTGAAGGTTTCTGATTAGAGTCTGTCTCAGGGTTCAGGATCTACAGCTCCCAACCCTCCGCAAGCACCCAAGTTCCGTCGCAGGAGGAGAGGTCAAGAGAAAGAACCGTCGCTTGCTCACGAGCTGAGCTTCCCCGAGGCTTCTCAGAGATTTCGAAGTTTAGGAGCGCAGTTTTTTTTTTCTCAGGGCGGCTCAGAACGGTGGATATCGAGTCTCGTTGACAGCCGAAGAACATCTACGTGGCCTGAGCTTTTCGGTACGGGTTTGTTTGTGCAGTGAGTCCAGTAACTTCGGAAGCTCCGAGAGGCTTCCAAAGATTTCGATGTGCTCCCGAGAGCTGCAGAGATTGGAATGAAACCAACAGAGATCTTGCTGGGCGCTGCGCCCTCTCTGACCTGTGAGACAGGGACTCGGATGGGGTCTGGGGTTCAGGGTGTCACACACTTTCTGCACATGCTTTTTGCAACTTCGGAGCTTCTGTCAGCTCTTCTCCTCGAAAGCCCGAACTCCAGACCTGAACCGGGGCTGTGCAGGGGACCAGCAATCTCTTGGAATAGAAAGGAGACATATGTTTACTCAGTATACTTATTTCTTTCAACATTTTTTGCTATGTATACATATGTATATATAGACATGTTTTGTTATTTCCGTTTTATTGTTTCTTTAAAGTGTTTTTTTTTTTCTTTTCTTGTGGTTGCTTTGCCTTGTTTCTTGCTTTGCCTTGTTTCGCTTTAGCTGTTTGTTTGTCTCTTGTTTCTTCTTGTTGCTCTTTTGCTTTATGTTTTTCGGTCTGCGATTTTCGTTTCTCGCTTTTCGCTTTTGCTTTGCTTTTTGCTTCTTGCTTTGTCTTTTCCTTTCTGCTCTCTGCTCCACTTTGCTTCTTTGTACTTGTCGCTCGATATGTTGCTTGTTGCTTTCGCTTCTTGCCTTTAGCCTTGCTTTCCCACCCTCTGGTCTCACCTTACGCCGCTTCGCTGCTTCTCATCTTGTCTGCTTCTCCGCTTTTCTGCACGTAGTTTCTGATGGTCGCTGACGCTTTTCTGCTTGTTCCACTTCTGGATTTCGTTTTGTTTTGAGTTTATCGCATGCGCATGTCTTGTCCGCTTCGTATACTAAATGCCTGGACCCCCCCCCCCCCCCCCCCCCCCCACCCGTGCTTTTGAAGCCGTGCAAGCTTGCTTCCAAAAACATACAAATGCCTACCAAACCCATCATACGAGAGCATTGTGTTTGCAAATGGGGAGCAGCGCCCCTCTCAGCCCCCCGTTTTTTCATTAGGCCCTCCCCCAGCCCCCAGGCTTTTTCAGCCGCACAAGCTGGCTTCAAATCATGCGAGCATTGTGTTTCACAAAGGGGTGTTGGGGGGGGGGGGGGCTGCGCCCCTTTCCAACACTCCCGTTTTGTGAAGCTGGCAAGCTTGCTTCGAAAGCATATGAGTCCTTTCCCCCGTCTCCAAACTCCCGGCTTCTTTTCAGCCCATGATACGAGCATTGTGTTTGCAAATGGGTGGGGGGGCTGGCCCCTCGTTTCTTTTCCCGGCTTCGAACACCTTTGAAGTCTTTCCATACCCATCTGGCGAGCATTGCATTTGCAAACCCCCCCCCACCCCCGCTTCTTTTAAGCACAAGCTTGCTTCCAAAAGCATGTGAACTCTTTCCATACCCATCATGCGAACCTGGTGTTTGCAAATCGGGGGAGGCTGCCCACGCCCCCGCCCCAAGCCCCCAAGGCAAGCAAGATGTCTGCCTGTTTCGCGATTCGGAGCGTTTCGAGCGTGAAGAATTGTACGGGACCTAGGCGAATGCACGATTCCAACGCCGTTTGGTATTTCCCGGCCCTGAAACACTGACAGCGCCGAAGCCAGAACGTCACGGGCCCGTGACAATATCAAGAGGGTCGACGATCGCAAGTTGCAACGCGCACGGGGCCTAGGCGATGGCGTCCGAACCCATAAGAAGAGATTGATTTCCAGATGGTAGTGTGTATGCAAAAAACAACTTGAATTAGCGGTATTTCCGGAACTGACGCAAGACATCATCATCAGCCTTAGAGTCTTAGAGCCTTTGAGTTTAGGATCTCTGCACAGCAGGGAAGCTGCATGTATCGTAGGGTCTGTCGAATCAATTTGCAAAGTTGGCAAAGTTGCGCTGGAGTCCGCTGTGACTCGCAACTTCGGCCTCTATTCTGTTACGATCTCGCTTAAGCGAGATGCGTGCCCAGGATTTTCGAGAGGTTTCGAGAGAGGCCCGCCCGCCAGCTGGAGTTGCGGTTCTTGTCATTTTCGATTTGCTTGGTCTCCGCAGTTCCCATTTTCTTGTACTTTCCTGAAGTCGATGGATCCGAGACATGAATCAGAAACTGTCAGCACGGGTACACCGCCTCGCGAGGCCCTCCTCTTACAGTACATGTTTGTTGCGTGGGCCAGACTCGCATCTCAATTCGGACACATGAAAGATGCCAAAAACTCCCTGAGTACAATCAGTCGATCTCCGAAAGCAGAGAGAGTGAGGCCTCTACTCTTGAGGTGCAGCTGCTTCATAGATGTGCAATGCATGACTTGTCGCACGGCACCCTTTGGGTCGTAGCCACCTTGGCTTCCAAATTTTAAGCCGCGACGTCCGGACTTCCTCTTTTATGCTTTGAGAGCACCGCCCTGTGCCAGAGTCTGAGAGTAACCTGAGAGTATCACCAGGAGCCTAACACTGCCTCTTTGAGCCAAAGATCACAACACTGGCAGGGCGCTCTCGAAGTTTGTTTGTCGCGAGGCGGCCGCGGCTCGGAGGCCCCTTTCAAGAGAGGCAAAAAATTTTAAAAAAACGACTCCCTGCATGCGTGCAAAATGTCGACTGGCTTTGCTGAGAGGTGTCGGGAGGTGCCAGACCGATGGTGTTTGGGTGTTTAGGGTGTTGTTGGGGGGAGCGGCGAGGGCCGGGGAGTGGGTGCCCAAATGGGGAGAGGTGATTGTTTGTCGGGATATGCAGCACTTTGGATGTATACGCTTTACTCTTCGAAACGGCGTCTTGTGTCATACTTTCCACCAGCTCTAAATCTGACAGGTTGCTTAATTTACCTCTTCGTTTCCACGATTTTGTAGACGATGTGCCTGCAGTAGGCACCATGTCAGAGGCCGGGCACGGAACTATTGAGAAGAACGATTCCCCGAAAACAGCAACTCCTGTCAGGGGCACCCGAAAAGCCCCAAGCAGATCGCCGCATGTCAGCATCCACTTGCAGCTGTTTTCAGGCCCCACTGCATCCACTCCTAAATCCTCAGCAGTCAAAAAACCCCATCCAACCCATCCAACCCATCCGACCCATCCAACCCTAAACCCTAAAGCCTAAACCCTAAACACCCCCTTGCTCCCCGAAGGGCCGCAGCTCAAAGAGAAGCCCCGCCATGCGCCATGTCCTTTGGAGCCAAGCACGGGAACAAGGTGGGGGGGCGGATCCGAGGATTTGTAGGCTACCAGGGGTTAGGGGGGAGGTTGAGGGAGGTTTAGGGAGGCTTAGGGAGGTTTAGGCCTTAGGCCTTAGGGGGCCTTAGGGGGGCCCCTCGATGGGTTCCAGGGTATGTTAGGGATCGGAGCCGGGAGGCCCACATCATCCCGGATGCTCGGCATGATCCACAGCTCCTCCGAGACACGGTGCTGTCCATCAAGGCTGCTTGTAAAAGAGAGCTGTGCTTCTGAAATAAGTTTTGTGCTTTCCTTGAGTTCTTCATTCTGGGGGAGCCTATGCATAGAACTTGTTTTCAATCCGTTCTGATCACAACTCAGGGGCCCCCTTTAAGACGTTTTGGGGTTTGCTTTGGCGGGGTTTGGGGTTTGGCGCCGCGCTCTTGCGCGGCTCGGGTCTCGGGCGAAGCTGAAGGCGCACATCCCCAGAAACGCCCTGAGCTCAACCCTGAAGCCTCCCTCAAAGAAGACCAGCCCAATCCCTGGCAAGCCTTTGAGAGCTTCGCTGTGCAGAGGCCTCCTTCCGCACCCTGGAACAGTCCTGCAACTTCCTTGAGCACAAGGTCTCCAAGTCCAGGCGGGGTGAAGGGCAGAGCCCCCAAAAGCTTTGAGAATTTGTCGGAAAGGGCTTTTCCACCCTACTTGTACATACGCGAAGAGCGAGCAATCCCGTGAAAGGTTCGTGAGCGGGGTCCTCGCGGTCGGTGTCTGAATGGGTTCTGGGAAGAAGTGGTCTTGTGGGAGGCTTGACAGAAAGGATCCTTTGGTGTTGTTCGTGTTTGGTGCATTCCGGCGTAGCTGCGGCCAGAAAACTCTAACCTGTTAAGCCTTCGCCTGCTTTTAGGTACGAAGCATTGTGCTACCAGTAGTACTGAGTGCGCCAAAGCCACGAGCCAGGACCCGCATACTTGGGCAGCTGCTGTCGGCGCGGCATGCGATCCACGAGGAGCATGTGGCTCCTTGGGCCCCAATCTGGAGTTTTGGAGGGTTTCGGATGGAGCTTTTTCCGCAAGGTGGGGTTGCAAGGGATTTTTGCGTTTTCGGGCTCAGGTCTTCCTAAAAGGCACTCGAGGGCGAGTCCACGCCGGCTCTCTGTGGAACTCCAGAAGCAACGTGTCAGGTGAAGCCCTCTCTGCCGACGATGCCGTGGTCCACGCCGCGCATCGACAGGCGAGGCCCCGAGTCCGAAGCCGCAGGACCGTGAGCCCTTCTCTGGGAGGGTTCTTCGCTAAGCCCACGGATGAACCCCACAAAAGTGGATGGTCTGAGTGCTTGAACCAAACGATCCCAAACCCAGCAAAAACAGTCCTGGCCAGTCGCCCGACCGCCCTCGTCTACGCAAAGGCTCGGGCAGCTCTGGAGGCACCTGAGGGAACTCTGGGATGCCAAGCAGTGCAACACACCATGCGGAAACACGATGCGAAAATCATGCACCCAGAAATTCCACACCTCCACTGCGCGAGCATTTAGGGATCGGACGTTTGCTGCTCTCGTTTTCTGGGAAGAAGGATTTAGGAACTTAGCATTTTAGGGTTCAGGGTCTCAGGATTCTTGGAGGTTCAAGGGTTTCCGCAGACGAGTTCAGCACCTGATATTTAGGGTTCAGGAGAAGGGCCACAAGCAGCTCAGGGGAGTTGAAGCCCTGAGTGAAGAAGGGTTTCAACCTGTCAAA